CAATGAAGTTTGGGGTCACCACCACATGAGAAACTGTGTTAAAGGGTCGGGGCGTGAGGAAGGTTGAGAACCGCTGCCTTAAGGCCATCCTCGTCGCGTGTGATTAAAGCCCCTTCCCCAGAGGTTTCTCTGAAATCTTACTGATATGCCAGCACCTTCTGTGGCCCTTTGGGGAGAGACCCCCCCCCATAGCCCCTCTCCCTGTTAGTCCAGCAGCAGCTGCCCAGGCTCTGGCTGACCTTCGCGGTGCCCTCCCCACCCCACCCCCTGCCCGTGCCAGGCTCACCATGGCTGCGGTGCCTCCACGTCCACGTGCACAGGAAAGTGTGGGATCCGAGACCTAAGGGGAGGCTACAGACAAAGGGGTGACGCAGGCTCTGCTACGCACAAGCAAGCTGGCAGGAGCTCCGGCAGAGGGGGCGCCTGCAGAGGAAAGCGGGGTCGAGCTGCCGCCATCCATTCGGCCCGGAAATCACTGGAAAAGGCACCCCTCAAACACCCCACAGCCCCAGGCTCCCAGCAAACCCCAACTCCTGCTCACCTTCAATACGGTGTGTGGGCCTGAGTGTACATCTTCCCCACAGCCCTTCCTGCCACTGTGCCTGGTCCCTGCTGCCTCCCCCTCATCTCTTCACCCCCCCCTCCATCGACTCTTCACCCTGCAGCTGCCCGGGTCCCAATGAAGCCTTTAGCTCTCATCCTGCAGCTACTGTCTTGCTCTCCTTACAAGTGCTTTGTGCTCTGGCCAAGTCATCTCACCTTAACAGTCTGATACCAGATTGTTTATAAAAATCCTTCCTCCATAACCTTGCTTCCCCGTCCACGTGGCTCCAACCCCTTTAATTCTAGCATCTACACCCCATTTAATTCTAGCTTCTCTCCCATCACCCCAGGTATATCCTGAGACAAGCATGATTGTATGTTCCCATGTCTGATGTGCAATATTTAAAATAAAATTATGTAAAGACAGTCCAATGAGCATGGTGAAACCCACAATAAAATGCAGTTCCTGGCCCAAACCCACGTGAGTACATGTTAGGCGACTAGTGAGGATTCTCTATAAAAGCACCAGCTACCTCCCCTCTTTCTCTAACGGGACGGACTGAAAGTTTAAGCAGTTCTCTTCTGACCCTAAATTTAGGCTGAGAAGACATCACTGTGCACAAGGACCAACTTGATGTCAATAGTGAAGGGGAACAAATGCCTGTGGAACAAGAGGGCAGAGGTCGTGGCGTCACCTCGTGATGCTCTTTCCATCACAGGGCACCTCGCCAATCTTGCACCCAGGTCCCTGATCTAACACCTGGCACCCTCACAAGTTCTCAAACTTCTCGAAAGTGTGGACTTGGTAAACTGCATGAGAAACAGAAGCTTCTGCAAGTCAAAGCATGGCCTGGTTTTGCCAAGACGCATTCCTTCGTGCTCACCTGAACTGGCAAAAAAGACCCTCACCATGAATGTGCAAAAAAAGTTTAACAAGTAAATAAATAGAAAACTTTTCCCTCCAGAGAAACTCCAGGTAAAACTACAAGCTTCCTTTTTTGGCTGTTTATTCGTCAATAGGAAGATCCCTCAGTGGTCCTGCTATCAGCTCCTTTTGTTCTGATGGCCAGAGGCTGTCATCCTAGCACTACACCCTGCAGTGCCCGCCAGACCCTCACCCTCATTTAAGATGCCAATGAATCTGAAAAATACAGAACCAAGGCTCTATCATAGCAAACTAGGAAAATAATGAAATGTACAGCAGAGTGGACTATCATTTATTCACTGTAAATGATAATCATGCGATTGATGTAAAAAAATGACCATTCATGACATACGTCAGTGAAATAAATGGAAAATAAAGTAAGTTTTAAGAGCATGATTCCACCCCTACCTACATTTTCAAAACAAAAGCAAGTGGGAAAAATGAAGTTGGGGGTTTACTTTCCCATTTTATTGGCTATCACTCACATGCTTTAGATTAATAATGTAAAAGGAAGTATGATCACCGTTCACATGCAGAGCTGACTTTAATGTGATCCTGGCCCTGACCCCGAACCCCCATCCTGCTGATTTAATGCACCTTCTCTAACCTCCTCACCAGCCTCTACTCCCTGCCCCTCCTCCTGCCATGGTTGCCAAGGCAACCAGACCACATGCAAGCACACGGGTGTGGCCAGTCAGGAACATGGATTGACAGGCAGCAA